ATGCACCTTGTCAAAGCGACCCCGCTCAGGCAGGGAGGTCTTGCTGAAGTCACCAGCCCGAGGATGCTCCCGGTAGTAGAGAGTAGCGTAGTCTGGCTCATTCCGAGGTGCTCGCTTGCTGCTCTTGCCATCCTTCTTGGGGAGATGCAGGTAGCTGAAGAGTTCGCGCTGACCCAAGCCTTTCCGGAGGAGCCCATCAGGCTGCCGGGAGCCCCTGGATCCAGCCAGTGCAGCCCGAAGTTCTTCGGGGGAAAAGTCCTGCCGTTCCAACAGGCTGCCTACGCTGCCCATGGCAATGCCAGCAGGGCTTGAGGCTGTGGCCATGAAGGTTCAACAGGGCACAGGTAGCTGATTCTGGGAATCAAAAGGCTCCATTAGTGGCAGATGGGCACTCGGTACCCAAGTCCGCAGATGCTCTAAAACCAGACGCTTGCCATCTGTTAGTTCCTCAATTTGCCCAGGCCCATCAGAGGCAGATATGTGTGAACAGGATAGGATCCACAGAAGGGCAAGAGAAAGTGTGCATGGAACACTGTGTCAGACTAAGTCCAGAGAGAAGCAAATGGGCTTCCACTGGGACACCTAAAGGAACAGCTCCAGATAGGGGTCTGCTGTGCAATGTAGGGGCAAGGCAGGGAAGGAGAGACTCCTAGGCAGTAGGACAAGGCCCTCCTCCTAGAACCAGGCCAACAAAGGGCGGAGGGTGGACTCAGGCACTGTCTGACCTATGGTCCTGCTTACTTCTGACAGGTTCTCCACTAAATTTGTGGCATGGGAAGCAAGCACAGCAAACCAGGACTGGAGGAGGTCTGTTCCTTCTCTAGGTGGGAAGCCCCTCTTCCCTCAAAGGATCAGAGGTTTCCCCAAGGAAACATCTGGATGGGTGGGGCTGGGAGGTGGAATACAGTGGTAGGGATACAAACAGGAAAGGCCCAAGGGGAGGAAGGATGGTGATGCACACAGGAAGAGCCTAAGGGGAAGAACAATGGCTGTTTCCGGAACAGGTGTTTAGGCGATGATGGGGGCAGAGGGGAGAAGCACCCTTTCTCTGTAAGGCCACACTGAGTTCTGCTGGTAGCTGTCACTAGCCAGGTCCCCAGGGCCTGGACTGGGAGCTGGCAGCTTGTGACCTCAGCCATGCCTAATCTCTTCTTGTCTTCCTTGGGATCAGAAAGGTAGTGACAGACAGCCTTTATCACTTAGGGAGGCTGAAAGGAAGGGGGAAGAAACTGACCAGGTACCTAGTCTAGGTCTGGCCTGAAGCCCCGATCAACACAGAACACCCGAGGCTGAGCTTAGTCACACACTCCAACTCCACACCAAGGGACCAGGCTTATGGACTCCTCACATGCTCTGAGGCCCAACACTCTGGAGACCGGTGCCTGTACCACACCCACTGCCTGGCATACGGTTAAGTGCAAACAACTGGCGGTGAATGGCACCTTTTCTGCCTCCCACTCACACACACAGCTGCTCCCAATGCCAAGCAGATGCCTGGCAGGCAGGCTGCCACTGGGAGTACCCACCACCACCCACCCAATATGCTTCCGGGACACCCACTCCCACCTCCAAACAATGGTGGTCAGGAGGCCCCATCCTCAACCATTTCCAGGCTTTGTGTTTGTGAAAGACAAAGCTCTCTCTGGTAGACGGAGGGCAGGCCTTGTCCCTGCTCCACTCTATAGCCCTCAATTGCATCCTCAGCAAAAAAAAAAAAAAAAGTCATAGCCCTCTCCTGAATAACTTTCTTACACCACTCAAATTGGGGTGCAAGTCTGAGTTTAGACACGCTGCCCAGCCAGAGTCATATCCTTCTAGGGATGTCACAAGCTTTGTAAATTCAAGAGACTCAACCAGGTTAGAAGACTACTGGAGCCAGGGCTACTAGAGTAACATGGCACTTTGCAGAAGCCTCAAGGAGACTATGGCTCCAGCACCCCCTCTTTTTTAAATGCAAGCTCTTGGGATTAATACCACAGCTGCTAAGTGTCTAGCAGGAGTCAGGGTGTCACCCACAACCAAGAGACTAGAATGGGGTCACCTTGCCTCCCTATTCAACATTGCCTTACCCTGACAAACCCACCCTGTGAGACATCACTGCATGTGAAATGTTCTGTTACTACTCAAGGAAAGCGACCGATCTTGTCTTCAGCCACCTCTTTCCCTCGTGTGTGTGTGTGTGTGTGTGTGTGTGTGTGTGTGTGTGTGTGTTAGATGCTTGCCTCTGCATCTTGCCTTGCCTTCCTTACCTCTGTCATGACAACTGACAGAGAGGCAACAGGGGTGAGATGGCTTCGGAAACTATTAAGTCCTGTGTGCCCAGGGGTTGGGGACACTGCCAAACATATGCACCCTCACCTTCTTCTGTGCAGATACACTCATTTCCAATCTCATGAGAAAAAACAAAAACAAAATAAAAAAAAAAAAAACTGGCACTCTATGGCACCCACCAAAAGGTCTCTCTCACTCAGGTCCAGAGATGAACTAGCATGGCCTTGAGCCACAACTATGTAAATGGCTTTAGAACACAGTGTCAGAGTATCAGTCCCACGCAGAAACGTGTGTTTGTTTGAGGACAGTGTGTTTGAGGACAGTGGGATCCAACAGCAGACAACACAGTTTGTACAAGATGACCAGCTACACACACTACTCAAGGTCTCTCACATGGCACTGTCTGCTCCATCTGCAGGGCTGAGGCCCCAGGCCACCCAGGTCTGTCTGGAGACAGACCCTCTTCACGAAAGACCTACCTCTGCCCCTCCCCCAACCCATACATTCCTTCCCTCCCGTTGCTTAGAAGCCTTGGGATTGCCTGCTCAGCCCAGGGCAGCTGTGTGGGCTCTCTGTGGCCTGCGAGTTGGTGGGGGTGGAGGTGAGAGCTGGCAAGTTGCCTCCCAACCTCTGGGGGAGAAGAGCAGAGCAGCAAGCGGGGTTCCCACCAAGTGCCTGCGCTGTGGCCTGTGTAATGCTTGGCGCTCTGTAAGGGGCAGAATACACACCATCACTCGGCTGGCCACAGCAGTACCCTTCATTCCTGCCTTCCTCTGCCCCAAGATTAGCCAGCAGGGCAGAAATCCCTAAACAGAGGTACACAGTGGGGCACCCCAGCACCAGATCCTGGGCACCTCTTCCAAACACACCCAGGAGGTGAACACAGTTAATTTTTGCTTCACCAGAGGAAACAAGGAGACCAAGAGGTGAAATGATGTGACCAAGGTCACGTTTAGCTGCATGGGAGGAAGTGCCCTTGGCTTCCTAGGTGCAGTTTTCCTTGCATTTCCTTTGGGTTGGGGGCACCTCAACCTCCATGTGCCAGTACTGTCAGGCTGAACTGCCTTTAGTCCCACCAGAGTGCCCCAGGGGAGGGTCACACCACCTGCTGGGGGATCAGCCCTTCTGAGGGGTGTGTCTGCAGCTGCCCCAGAGGAATGAGACTGGAATGTCCCAAGTCCAAAAATGGGGACAGCCTGAGAAGTGGTGGGGGTGGCTGGCATACCCTGCCCCCTTGGCAGAATTATTCGCTCAATGCACAGTGCTTCCGTGTTTCTCTTCTATTTCATAATGTCACATCATAATGTCTCCACAGTGGCCAGAGGAGACACACAGGGCACTAAGGATCCTGTCTACAGATAGGAGACTGAGGGATGAGTCTAACAGGGCCAATTTGGATCCCCCACAGTAAAGCCCTCTATACTACACCCAGCTGTCTCAGCTAGGGGTCACCTTCCACCAGCATACTCTGCTGTCTGTCTATCTAGCCTGCCCAGCCCCCATGATTCTTTCTCCCAAGGGCATCTATGGCTAGGCTGGATAGGATGGACTTAACCCACTGCCAGAGATCCCTCCTAGGTCGCCCTGGGGAAGAGGGTAGGAAGAAGTGGAAGTGGCGCCGGTTTAGGGACTCTCAACTCTGGAAACTGCTAGAGGCGGTGTCGGAGCTGGCTGGTCGCTTTCATTCACAGTCTCGCACATACACACCCACACGCAGCCAGTCGGCAGAGGAGCCCTGCTTGGGAGAGCCTGGGAGGAGGCTGATTACCAGGTCCAGGAGGACCTCCCGCCTCTGCTTCCTCCCAAGGACAGTCATGCCCAATCTGTACTTTTGGGGTGGGGATGTCCCAGGTCCCCATCTGAATAGAGCCAGGGTCCCGGTCCTCACTTTTGTCAAAGGCTGAGGTCAGGACTGGAACTGAGTCCCGGACCTCGGGACATCCCCTATTCGCAGGTCCTCAACTGAGGACCAGACAGGATAGGAGGCTGGGGCAGGAAGATGATACCTTGAGGGCGAGGGCAGGTGAGTGGTGTTCCCGGGAAGGTGCCAGAGAAGACAGGTTGGCCATCCTGGTGGAACTACGCCAGGGAAGGCAGTGGAGAAATCGAGAGATACCAGAACTGCTGGAGGCCCAGAGCTACCCAGGGGGGCGGGGTGGGGTACGCAAATCCCGCCCGCGGTCTGCGGGGCCTGCCTGGAGCTGTTGCAGGAGGCGGAGGCCGAGGTCAGACTCCTGTGCCAAGGGCGCCTGCCCCTCCTGGCTGCGGCGCAGGGGTCTCGGGCGATGCTCCACGGAAAGCGCATTCACAGATCAGCCTTATGCGCGGGAGCGGAGGACACCGGAGCTCGTACCGCCTCCTGCCACCCCCGCCAGAGTCTGAGAACGACCTAGGCGACCTGCCCAGCCCACTTACCATGTTGGCGCCGAGATCTCAGGGCGCGCTGCAGTCCCCTGTTCAGTCTCGAACCTTTATCCTTGCAGGTTCTTCGGACTGGCGCGGGAGCCTGATCCGCGGGCAGAGGACGCGCTGGGCGACACTCTTCTGGCCCCAGAGGCGGAGGGAAAACCCGGCCTGACTCACCCGCTCGGCGCGAGCCCCAGAGCCCGGCCCGGCCCCCGGATGTGGGGGGCGGGCACCGGCGCCGCCCCCAAGCGACCTGAGCCCCGCCCCGGCTCGCTGGTGCAGAGGGGCTGGGTCCCCCGGTTGAAAGATTTCTCTCTGCTGTCGCTGGCGTGCTTCAGCTCGGTGGACTCCGGTCTAGCCGAGGCTCCAGAGCCCGCGTCTCCCAGCTGCTTCTCCTCTTCCAGCTCCGGGCCTCGCCCGCCTCTCCCGGTTTCCTTCCCGAACCAGCTTCCAAACTGGCGCGCTGGGGTGGGATGGTCACGTCTCTGCTCCACGCCGCCTCTTTCTCAGGTAAGCACCACTTTCCTCTTCTGAAACCCAAGTAGTTCCCCGAGAGCCGAAAAGGTATACAGTCGGCGTCTCCAGTGGTTGGCAGCTGGATTGAGCGCAGGGCTTTTATTTTGGAGGAAGGTTAGTTTGCCTCCCATGCCTTCTAGGGGCGGCAGGTTCAGATGCCTTCAGGGGCCAGACCGATAATGTAAATGAGTCACATGGGCTGGGTAGTAGCGGGACGGAAACAGAAGGCTGGACACCCAACAAATTCAAGTTCAGGAAGTTAGAACGCCTTTTCTCCCATAAGAAGTTAAACACAGATGGGCGAGGGTGGAGAGATGACTTTGTGGTTTAAGAACATCAGATGACCCGGGTTTGGTTCCCAGCACCACGTGGCGACTCATAACCCTCTATTACTCCTTCCCTGGGATCCAGTGTCTCACCTCCGGCCTCTGGGGACACTGCACACACGTGGTGCACATTAACTCACGCAGGCACACAGTGTGTGTGTGTTGTGTGTGTGTGTGTGTTTGGTTTTTCCAGACAGGGTCCTCTGTGTAGCCCTGGCTGACCAGAAACTCACTCTGTAGACTAGGCTGACCTCAAACTCAGAGGTCCACTTACCTGTGGCTTTCCAGTGCTGGAACCAAAGACATGTGCCACCACCTCCTGGCAAGGCGTTCTTTTTAAGATTTCAAAAAATTTATTTATAAATAAATAAGTTAAACCTAGATTTAGAATGTTACTTACCACTTCCATTCCCAGGTATATATATATGGCCAAAGAACCAGGTATGCCAACAAGAACTTGAAGTCAGGTGTTCATAGTAGTCCAGAGGAGGAAACAGATCAAACCCTCCACCCATTAATGGATAATGTGATCCGCCCATTCAGTGGAATATTATTTACCACAGAAAAGGAATGAGTGTCATCCCATGCTACAATTCAGGTAAGCCTCTAAGAAGTGATGCTAAATCAAAGAAACTGCCCACAAAAGGCTGTGTGCGGAGTCATTTCACTTTTGTGAAGTAGGTTAAACCCTATGGACAGACTGTGCAGATTAGTGCTAGACTAGACACTGCAGGGAAGAAGTGGGGGTGATTCCTTGCTAGTTGTGGGGTTTCACCTTGGTGTCAGGCAATGGACGCAGCACTTTCTGCTATTCCCTTTAAAATGTCTCAGAGGGCTTGGTGTGGCTCAGTGTAGAGCATGAGCTCAGAGCATGCATGAGGCCCTGAGTTCAGTCCCCAGCACTCCAAATTCAAACATAATGTTAAGTCATGCAAAACTTACTTAATTAAACAAAATGTCACCTGTGGCTCAACAGGTACCAGTTTGCAGCCTCTGCTTTCTGCTCTACTGTTGGCAATTTCCTAACAAAGGAAATGTCAAGCATTGGGGTTTTCTCTTTAAGAAAACTCATTCACAGCTTTTCATTATCTCAGTACTGGAGAGGCTACTGAGATGGACACTCATGGCAAGGACACTGCCTCGGGTACCTGAGGAAAGGCCTCTCTGGGTAAGTAGCCTAGCAGAAGGGCAGAACTCTAATGTTTCCCCAGGAAAGTGCACTCATGATGTTGTGGCCCAGAGCGAAGAGATGAGCTCTCTAGGGAGGACAAAGCCCTGAGAGACCCTCTGAGGTGACACATACACGTTAGCCTAGATGTGCCGCACGGAACATGCCGCAGGCCTGTGTAGGATGCCTAAAGGCAAGCGTGTGCACCAGGACGGACTGGGTGCTGCACACACAAGCCTGCTTGCTGGGAAAAGTGGGGAGGTTGAGTTATAGGCACCCAGGCAAAAGAAGTGTGTCATCTGGGAGTTCATGAAATGGTTATAAAGAACTAACTTGGAGCCGGCTGTAGAGTCTCACATCTTTAGTCCCACCACTCGGAGGTAGAGACAGTCAGATTTCTGTGAGTTCAAGGCCAGCCTGGTATACAGAGCAAATTCCAGGGCAGGCTTCAAAGCTACAGAGAAACCCTGTCTCTAAAGGGAAAAAAAAAAAAATTTTTTTTTTTTTTTTTTTTGAGGAAAAAAAGAAGTCAAAGCTAAATCCTAGATTCTTTTTTGTTTGAGAAAGGGTCTTGGATAAGGCAGGCTGCCCTTGAACTCATTTTGTAGCAGAAGATGGGCTTGAACTCCTGAACCCCTGTTTCCCACATTATAATACTAGGATTATATGTGCCCTGGCTCTGTAAATACTAATTATTATGGTTGTTGTGTGATGTACATGTGTGTGCATGTAGGTGCAGGTCAGAGGACAACTTTGTGAACTCAGTTTCTTTACTTCTACCTTTACATGGGTTCTGGGGATCGAACTCAGGTCCTCAGGCCTGTACAGCAAGGACTTTGCCCACTGAGCCACCCCACCTTCCCCATCTGTAAGTGTTGATGGTGACTCTGGTTCAGTAAGACCCAAGCCCACATCCCTCCCCTTCCCAAACCCCTTTCATATTTACAGATGCAGTACTTTACCCAAGTTCCTGTGGTTTCTTCCCACGCTGTCCAGTGTTCTTCCCCTATACCAAGCTAACAGTGGAGGAGGATGGTGGTTGTGTCTCAGGCATCCTAGGAGGAAGGACTGGATCTCTGGAGCCCAGAGACATCAAGAGTGAACACAGAAGAGGAGGTGGAGGGTCCTGACAGAACAGAACACTCAGGACTGTCTTCAGGTAAGGATCCTGGCTTGGCTGTAGAGCTGAGGGGCTGGGGCAGAGGCTGGGGCAGCCTGAAGAGAAGTGTCATCCAGGGAAGCAAGGGAAGGTTAGGAACAGGCTTCTTGTCACCGCCTTCTACACTGACTGGAGACTCCAGACTGCTAAGACCATCTCCTGCCTCTAGACAGCTGGCCTGACTGACAGATACTGCCTGGCTTTAAGGCCTTGCATGTTGTTACCCTGGTTACCTGATGGGTAATGGCAAGGCAGACAGGACCAGCTGACCCTGTAGGGAAGTAGGCTCAGTCACAATCTAGGACTTCCTCTTCCCCTAGCATGCCTATGTCTTCCTCTGTGTGTTTTCAAGGCTAAAGCATAGGACCTATCATTGAATTCTTGGATGTCCTCCGTTCAGCTTTCTCTGATGGAAAACTTGGGATCCAGAAGGGGGACATGATCTGCCTGCACCAAACTACATACATTCTCAGTGCTGCAGGGCCCAAAAGGACTTGCCTGTCTGAGGTCTTGGAGAGAAGGTGTGTTGGACGGAGATGGGGGTCAGAGGCCATCAGTAGGCCAGGCCTCTTTTCCTCCCACTCCAATCTTGCCTCACAACGTTGAAGAGATTAGACTCATGTAGGCAGTTGGCCCTGGGGAGGGGAGTGTACCCACTGAACTCTGTCCACCTTTTGGGTTCATCATGTAGACAGGTGTACATGAGTCTCTTGTCCTTATATTTGACAGACCTATGGGTCTGGCATGAGAGCCATGCTGTTCAGATGCCAAGGGGTGAGGCACTCCAGGCACCAGGCCAGGCCTGAAGTGAAACCAGATTCCCTGGGTACCTACATCCTGAATTGGTTAGCCTTGAACAATTTAACTTCCTCCAGTTATCTGCTGCCTGAAAGTGCCCAGGGCAGTGGGGTCCTAGGGCTACCCATGGGGAGAAGGAACTCATTGCACCCTGGCGGCCCATCGCCTTTCTTCTTGACAGTTGCAACAGTCTTCCTAGGCTCCTCTCCACTCTGCCCACACATTTTTGTCTCCAGTTCTCTACAGCCTGACAGGCAGAATCTCAGCCTCGGGACTGGTCGTGCCACTACTTCAGGCTGAGACACTACCCTGGCTCCCATCACCCATGTCCGGGGAGCTGCCTCAGTCTCCTCCTCTGTAATTGGCTGGTTTGGAGGTCATCCTCTGCCTTCAAAGTCTCTTTTCCTCAATACGAAACTGGTCACACGGTCTCCACTCAGACTTTTCCTTTTTCAGTTGTCGTTTTACCATGTTCCATCATCTCAGGGGTCGCCCGTCCTGTCTTGTCACTCCCAGAAAATAGCCAGCCCTGAGCACATAGGGACTGGTGTCCAGCCCAGATTTCCCCAAGGTCTTGAAGAGGTTTGGGAAATGCCATCCTAGCATATTACACTGATTGTGATGGTTGGGGAACAGCAAGAGGAGAGCCTTTACCCAGTGAACAAGCTGGACAGCTCTATTTTTAGTTTCTGACATGCCTCCCTCTGTAGTGCTGGGAGTAGAGATGTGCACCACTATGTCTGGCTTCAGTATATAGCAAGACAACCAATATTTACCAGAAAGATATTCACCATGAAGCTCCTCCAGTCACCTTCCCAAAATCAGTGCCATAGCCATCCTTCCGTCCCAGAAGCAGAGAACACATATTCTTTTCTGTAGCACCCATTGTTTTGTAAAGAAATAGTTTTTCTCCTTTTGCATGTTTTGTTTGTTTTTTTGAGGCAGAGTCTCTCCTTGGCTGTCCTGGAATTCACTATGTAGAACAGACTGGCCTCGAACTTTCAGAGATCCACCTGCCTCTATCCCCCAAATACTGAGATTAGGGAGGTTTGGTACCACACCCAGCCCTGGTGCTGGGGATTGAACTCAGAACCTTGTACACGCTAGGCAAGCACTCTACTAACTGAGCTACGCCTCCAGTTTTCTCCTTAAAAAAAAAAAAAAAAAAAAAAAAAATTATGTGTATGTGTGTGTGCCTGTTTTTATGTGCCTCATGTCTATGTAGTACCCAAGTGGGCCAGAAGAGGGCGGTGGATTCCCCTGGAGCTAGAGTCACAGGCACTTTTACATTGCCTGATGTGGGTGCTAGGAGTCGAACTCTGGTCCTCTGTAAGAGTAGTAGCTGCTTAATGGCTGGGCACCTCTCCAGCCCCGGTCTAATGACAGCTTAATTAGTAGACCGACAAAGAACTTAGGAGGAGGGCAGAGGGAAGCCATTTGTTCTCACTACAGTCTCCTCCAGGGCCTGACAGTTGGCCACCTCCTTATTCAGCACACCATCTGCCCCAGAAAGAACTTCATGCCTGTTTTCTAATCAGGAAGAGAAGAAAGAAAGGTGGTTCCTATCCTGGATCCTGGTTTTGTAACTACCTAGTGACCTTTCTGAGCCCTGGATTCTTGGTTTGTAAAACAGGACAAATCACTAGATTAAGTTCACTCGGGTGCAGGGACTGGCATGGTATCCAGGGACTTGACAGTCCTCTATCCCCCACCCTTCACTCCTCACCCTCTCTCCTCTCTGTCCCCTTGGAGCTGAGCCAGCTCTAGCCTGACAGAGAAGATTTGAGCAGTGTTGGTGGACACTAAGGACTTTAGTCCTTGCAAAGGCCAGGCTACCAGATACTAAGTGGACTCGAACTGCCCTCCCTGAGTCGTCAGAACTGGAAGGAACCTTTGCTTGACTTCTCTCCTTCCTCCTTGGGTGACCTGGTGACCTGGGCAGCCCCCAGCAGGCAGTGGGTGGAAGCCAAGACCTGCCAGGACTTGCTCAGGTGCCTTAGGGCAGGCAGCTCAGACCTGCAGGAGCCAGCCAGGAGACCCGCCCCCGGAAGTCCACACCACCTAGCTGGCCCACTCCTGGGCTACAGGGAGATCTGTACCAGCCAGTCCAGGAGGACCTGCCAGGCTGAGTGGTCACAGCACTTAGTTCCAGGACTGTGGAGGCCTGGGCTCAAGGCATTCAAATGTTTAGGGATGTGGGTTGGAGTCTAGCCTAAAAGGCAGTGTTAGCATACCCCATCCTACCTATTGAGCACAGTCAAGGGGGCTAAGGTGGCACTGCCTATTCAAGGTGTATTTTACAATTTTACAAAAGAAAGGAAAATATCAGCTCAATAAAGTGAGCTTGGATTCTTAGGTATTGTTCATGATATCCTGCCTTAAAAACTGAAAACAAAATATAAAGTCATGGTCTCTCTATGTCTGAGATGACCTTCAGCTGGTACTGCTAGGTCCAAACCATCCTACCTCAGCACCCTGCTGAGGGAGAACCTGGGAGTACAGCTTGGCTCTCCTGGCAATTTAACCTTTTTTCCTGAGAACTGAAGCTAGGGCATTACATCCACCAAACACCTGTACCAAGCTGTACCCCCTGTTCCACCCTCAGCCCTCCTGGCTTACTTCAAAACAAGTTCCAGATAATAGCATTTAATCTATAAACATCTTTCTTGTTGTAGTAGTTTTGAGACAAGGTTTCTCTGTGTAGCCCTGGCTGCCCCGGAACTCAGCTTGAGGCTGGCCTCAAAATCACAAAGATCCTCCTGCCTCTGCCCCCAAGTGCTGGTATCAAAGGCCTGCAACACCATCACCCTGCTTTGTCTATAAACACTGTAGGGAAGACATTTTAAGTTGTATTAATTGCGCTTCTATTTGGGAGTTTGGTGGAAATTGAGCTCAGAGCTTTACATGTACTAAATATGCTTGCTTTCTCTAAATTTTTTTTTTTTTTTTTTTGACTTTGTGTTTTGAGACAATGTCTCACTGTAACCCTGGCTGCCCTGGAACTTGTTATATAGACCTGACTGGCCTGTAATTCACAGAAACCCGCCTGCCTCTGTCTTCTGAGATCTGGGATTAAAGTCTAGCACCACCATTCCAGACATAAGCAAGCTTTCTACGACACCAGGCTATACCACAGCCCTGCACTCGTTTTTCTGTATGACTTCACAGGCAAAAAAGCAAAGCTGAGGGCTTGGAGGTGGCTCTGTAGTGAGGCACGCTCTCCGCATTGCCCTGCCACCCTTGCCCGCTGGCGATGCAAGGGGAAGGTTCACCCCTGTAAATTCCCTCCGAGGAAGGCCAGGAAAAAATGACCTCTGACAGTATGTTGGAAAGATGGCTAAGATGCGGAGTCCTACCTCAGCCCCCAAAGACATGCCCCTGTGGGGTTGTGGTGTCAGGGTTCTCAGGCATGTGACCACTCACACACTTCCCCCTCCGTGCTCTTGGGCTCCTTTCTCTACCAAGCACCACCTTCTCTCCTACACATCGCTACTAAGGCAGAAGTTTGTCTAGAGCCCAGTTCTGCTCAGCTTCCCTAATCCCGTAAGTCAATGGATGTGTTTGGCACATGGCCCAGCTCCTGGCTTCCTTCCCAAACCTGCATCCAGACTATGCAATGTCACTGCCTATCCCAAAACATTCGCCAGGCCTCACCCAGGAGAGCCAGACAGTTGCACACACCTCACCTGCCAGGCATTGCCGTACTCCTGCCTGGCCCTCTCTCCAGACCTACCAGAACAGCAGTTTTCTCCACACTGCCTCTGCCCAGAGCCCACCACACAGGTCCTTAGGAAGTTCCTGAGGTTTGGCGTTTGTGATGCCCTCGGCAGGACTGATGGACACAGGACTGTGGTAAAGAGAGGTACTATACACCTGGCAGACAGACTTGGAATGGAAGCTGTGAGTGGTGGGGGCCGAGGCCTTCCAGACCACAGGATTTGTGTACATGTGAGAGTGTGTATGTGGTGCTTGTGTATGTAGCCTTTGTGCACATGTACAGAGGCAGGTGGACATCAGGTACCCTGCTCTGTCACAGTCCACCTTATTCCTTTGGACACAAACTATTCTCGCAGAGGATCCAAATTCAGTTCCCAACTCTTGCATCAAGTGGTTCACAGCCACACATAACTCATGTTCCAAGGCCTCCAGGAACCCCTGAACTCACCTCACACAGACACATGCACAGAATGTTAAAATAATAAGGGCTGGAGAGATGTTGATGAAGGTTAGGCTCACAAGCAAAATAAAACAGTAAATTTCTGTTTGGCTTTGTTT